AAGTTACAGTGGGATACAGATTTTTTCAGACCGTATTTTCGACCTGCCAAAATATGTACCCCCCCCCCCCTAAAATCTACAGGTGATGGCCTATCATCTAGTGTTTTATTTTATGAATACTGTACATCATGTCTAATAACAGCAGTGAATATGAACACATTTCTTGTTTTCTGACAAAAGTTATAGTGGGATACAGATTTTTTCAGACCGTATTTTCGACCTGCCAAAATATGTATCCCCCCCCCTAAAATCTACAGGTGATGGCTTATCATCTAGTGTTTTATTTTATGAATACTGTACATCATGTCTAATAACAGCAGTGAATATGAACACATTTCCTATTTCCTGACTAAAGTTATAGTGGGATACAGATTTTTTCAGACCGTATTTTCGACCTGCTATAAAAGGTATCCCCCTCTCCATATTCCACAGATGATGGACTATCAACGTCTCCACTTCCTGTGGCGCCAAGAAAGCAAGATAAGACCCCCGCCATCCATCTTGAGCAGCACCCGTCCCACTTTGTGCTGGACCGCACGTCGCATATTGAGATAATGTCCCGCATCAGTCTGTTGGTTTTTAATAATTTTAAGATGATAAGACACATACTTGGAAGGTGTAATAATACAACAAGATTTAATCAATAAATTCCTCCGGAACAATAATGTACACAAAATTAAGGAGTACAAGCAGTACACAGGAAGGCCTCCTCCGTTGGTGGGCTTTTAACACACATATGGTGGAACCACCGCAAACAAACGTCACACTGAATCTGGAAAACAAATTATTTGGATTCAGTAAGAGGTTGCAAATTTTCATTCCTGTGTAATTGATATTTGTAATATACTGTACAGTAATTATTGTGGAGATAAAATAATTATGTAATGTTTGTAAGTCCTGGGCAAAATAGAAGAAATATAATATATATATATAATTCAATTCACTGCTGTTATTAGACATGATGTACAGTATTCATAAAATAAAACACTAGATGATAGGCCATCACCTGTAGATTTTAGGGGGGGGGTACATATTTTGGCAGGTCGAAAATACGGTCTGAAAAAATCTGTATCCCACTATAACTTTTGTCAGAAAACAAGAAATGTGTTCATATTCACTGCTGTTATTAGACATGATGTACAGTATTCATAAAATAAAACACTAGATTATAGGCCATCACCTGTAGATTTTAGGGGGGGGGATACATATTTTGGCAGGTCGAAAATACGGTCTGAAAAAATCTGTATCCCACTATAACTTTAGTCAGGAAATAGGAAATGTGTTCATATTCACTGCTGTTATTAGACATGATGTACAGTATTCATAAAATAAAACACTAGATGATAGGCCATCACCTGTAGATTTTAGGGGGGGGGGGTACATATTTTGGCAGGTCGAAAATACGGTCTGAAAAAATCTGTATCCCACTATAACTTTAGTCAGAAAACAAGAAATGTGTTCATATTCACTGCTGTTATTAGACATGATGTACAGTATTCATAAAATAAAACACTAGATGATAGGCCATCACCTGTAGATTTTAGGGGGGGGGGGGTACATATTTTGGCAGGTCGAAAATACGGTCTGAAAAAATCTGTATCCCACTATAACTTTTGTCAGAAAACAAGAAATGTGTTCATATTCACTGCTGTTATTAGACATGATGTACAGTATTCATAAAATAAAACACTAGATGATAGGCCATCACCTGTAGATTTTAGGGGGGGGGGTACATATTTTGGCAGGTCGAAAATACGGTCTGAAAAAATCTGTATCCCACTATAACTTTTGTCAGAAAACAAGAAATGTGTTCATATTCACTGCTGTTATTAGACATGATGTACAGTATTCATAAAATAAAACACTAGATGATAGGCCATCACCTGTAGATTTTAGGGGGGGGGGATACATATTTTGGCAGGTCGAAAATACGGTCTGAAAAAATCTGTATCCCACTATAACTTTTGTCAGAAAACAAGAAATGTGTTCATATTCACTGCTGTTATTAGACATGATGTACAGTATTCATAAAATAAAACACTAGATGATAGGCCATCACCTGTAGATTTTAGGGGGGGGGGGGTACATATTTTGGCAGGTCGAAAATACGGTCTGAAAAAATCTGTATCCCACTATAACTTTTGTCAGAAAACAAGAAATGTGTTCATATTCACTGCTGTTATTAGACATGATGTACAGTATTCATAAAATAAAACACTAGATGATAGGCCATCACCTGTAGATTTTAGGGGGGGGGATACATATTTTGGCAGGTCGAAAATACGGTCTGAAAAAATCTGTATCCCACTATAACTTTTGTCAGAAAACAAGAAATGTGTTCATATTCACTGCTGTTATTAGACATGATGTACAGTATTCATAAAATAAAACACTAGATGATAGGCCATCACCTGTAGATTTTAGGGGGGGGGATACATATTTTGGCAGGTCGAAAATACGGTCTGAAAAAATCTGTATCCCACTATAACTTTAGTCAGGAAATAGGAAATGTGTTCATATTCACTGCTGTTATTAGACATGATGTACAGTATTCATAAAATAAAACACTAGATGATAGGCCATCACCTGTAGATTTTGGGGGGGGATACATATTTTGGCAGGTCGAAAATACGGTCTGAAAAAATCTGTATCCCACTATAACTTTAGTCAGGAAATAGGAAATGTGTTCATATTCACTGCTGTTATTAGACATGATGTACAGTATTCATAAAATAAAACACTAGATGATAGGCCATCACCTGTAGATTTTAGGGGGGGGGTACATATTTTGGCAGGTCGAAAATACGGTCTGAAAAAATCTGTATCCCACTATAACTTTAGTCAGGAAATAGGAAATGTGTTCATATTCACTGCTGTTATTAGACATGATGTACAGTATTCATAAAATAAAACACTAGATGATAGGCCATCACCTGTAGATTTTAGGGGGGGGATACATATTTTGGCAGGTCGAAAATACGGTCTGAAAAAATCTGTATCCCACTATAACTTTAGTCAGGAAATAGGAAATGTGTTCATATTCACTGCTGTTATTAGACATGATGTACAGTATTCATAAAATAAAACACTAGATGATAGGCCATCACCTGTAGATTTTAGGGGGGGGTACATATTTTGGCAGGTCGAAAATACGGTCTGAAAAAATCTGTATCCCACTATAACTTTAGTCAGGAAATAGGAAATGTGTTCATATTCACTGCTGTTATTAGACATGATGTACAGTATTCATAAAATAAAACACTTGATGATAGGCCATCATCGGTAAAATCGTTGTTTGCCTATGTATAAGTGCAATGCATTATTGAATGATTTTGGTAATAATTCACCATGGAAGGAGGAGGAGGGGGGGGGGGGGTAAGAACAATTTTATATCCACGGGCTGTTTGCTTGTGAAACGATATGGTCGTCTTAGTTTTTCAGTACATTCTCGTGAGAATTGATCCATTCCGTGCATGAAGCTAGATCGTTTGCCCACAAAATAATTAGTTTTTGATGGGCCACATGATATCTGTCTTTGCTAAACCTCGTCGATAAAAAAAAACAAAACAACAACAACAGTAAAACGATGACTTAAACAATTCACGTGTTATAGTTTAATTCATCTTGGACAAAGTAATGACACACCTCCTGCTGAATGCGTGCGCGCTCCCGCGACCGGGGATACACTTCCTTTCAGGGGTAAGTACCTTGGCACGACACCGGTGTTGTGCTGAAATTCTACTGTCCTCCGCATGACATCAGATGATGACGTCAGAGAGCTAGGTTAATTTATTGTTTGTTATTCCCTTTCATTTTTATTAATTTTAATTATTTTTATGTAGTTATTGCAGCATTGTTCGTTAAATGTCTTGGACATACTAGTTTCAAATTTGTGAAATTCAATTAAATAAAATACAAATCTCCACACTGTTTGCTCTACAAAGCTTTTTGTAACCAATCTTACCACCCAATTTACAGCCGACAACATCAAACACTGAAGAAACATTAAGAAAACTAATCAGAGGCGTCAACACTGTTTTTCCCTTTTTGTGTTTAAAAATATGTTTTACATTTACTTTTGGACGAGTCTAATTTGCATTTGTGTAACTATATTGTGTAAAATATGTACAGTAAGTGCTGTTTTATATGTAAATGAACTGCATGTGGAAAAAGTCTTATTGTTATTTCTCTCATTTTTTATGTATGATTAAATTTTTATGATAGTGCATGTTTAATTAATTTGGATTATGTTTTACTCATACAGTTGTACATGACCTTGCTTAAAACAAAGTCATATTTTGTTGTAGATAGACATACTGTAGATAGATACAGGCAAATCTGAAAATGTAAGGGAATGTGTGAGCTAAAATAAATGAATGGCATCTCGCTTCAAGAAAGTGTCCCAAATCTGAAGGATTCAATGAATTTACTACAATACTGTAACATTTATACCCTGTGCGTTTCTATTTTAAACCAATATAATCCCAATATAATCCCATGGGTAAAAATTGTTGCTTATTTCTTTACTTACATTATTCTCATCTCTGCTGTCTGTACATCAGCTCTTGCTATAGCATATCAAAGTAATATCCATTTTACAATAGTTATTCTGCCCTCCTCAGCTCCACTGTTTACTTTGGTCATGTGTTTACTATGGGGCACAAATTTTGTTTCTCCTCCAGGGGCGCTTCATGTCTCAGAAAGACGAATTACATTGAGCAACATTGAAATATGAGAATGATATTAGTCTTAATGGAGATATTTGTACACCAAAAGAATAAACTTTGTTAACATAGGACTGGCAGTACATCTACACAGATGGAAATCTGCCCCAGAAAATAATTAAATAAATTGACTTGTGTAACTTTAACATTAAAATAAATAATTAATTTACTTTTAACTTTAGTGTTAATTTGAGCATTAATTGTTCACTAAAATCTAAATATGATAATTATAGTATCTGACAGAATACACATTTGTAGAAAGTTTGATCTACTCACCATGAACATTAATATGCAATTTCCTTTGTAAGATCATACTGCTGGTTTCGATCTTCAATTTATATTCTCCAGACTGATCTGATCGGATGTTTGTGATGGTGAGATCTCTGTGTTCATTATCCAGATCAATGTTTCTCCATCTCTTGTCATCAGGGCCGTTTAACCCATTAACTTGCTTAAGACCATCGCTGGTTCCGATGTTTGTTTCTTTACATTTACGGCATGATCTTACCAAATAATCTTTCATTAATATTGACAAAGAATGCGTCAATCAGAAGTTTAAAGGCTCACGCTTTGATATTTCTAATCGTAATGTCACAGTGATATCATCATTTTAATTTGTATCAAGAGTACGCAACATTAAAGCGGAGAGTTCTGGCCTGTGTTTGTCCAGTGAAGATGACAGATAAATGTAATCATGCAAACATCGGCATAGAGTTCATGATAATTATCCAGAATACAAAAAAAGTGGTAATTTAAGATGAATATCAAATATTTTTTTTATTTTTTTGCTGGCATAACATTTCTTCTCAGAGAATTAAAATTCTTGTAAATGTTTCAATAAATGATGTAGTCCAAGAGGTATTTTAGTAATACAACAATATGATTATGTTTGCTATAGTCCATCATAAAGATTAACCCCGCCCCCGGCTTTATCTGTGCTGCTCTGATTGGTCAGTCATTTAAAACAGTCTAACAGTGCCACCAGCTGTTGGGATGTCCAAATATACACAACCTGTAATATTCACAGCACAGCACACAGACAGCCAATGTAAAGTTTTGATGGAAGAAAAGTCTAGTCAACAAAGAGATGATTACAGAGATTTTAAGGATAGTTTGTATTCCTCAGTCAGCATTGTGCAAGTGTTCAAGCATACTAGTTTCTATTTAGGAATCTTAATATTTATTTTCTTAACAAAAGTGCATTCTGTAATTTATGTGTCACTAGCAAAACCAAACAGAACTGAGAAAATAATGACTGTATTAAAAAGAGTTTCCTGAACAATCCCTTTGTCTGCCGCTGACACGAGGTGTCTGAAATCATGTTCAGTCAGAGCAGGTCAAACAGTTCATGGAGAACTTGCTTCTTGAATGTTAAAATGTTTGTTCTAAAAAGCATGTATGTGTGTATTATGAATACAATGTGTTATGAATACAATATGGACATAATACATCTGCTCTGTTACTATTTCATATGACCTATGATGGCAATTTTGTGCCTGTTCCCTGATAACTACTAATTCTTTCCCCTAACCTTGTGCGATATTATAGTATACTTGGATCACTGGGTCATCCAAGTATTTTTCGGCTATTGCTGAATGAATATTGTGTATTTGGACATTTGATGTTCTGTTTTTCACATGCTGTGTTCTAGGGATGTAGATTTATTTGGACACGGGGTCTGTCTTGTCCCCCTGTCTTGAAAAATTGATTGTCCCACCCCAAAAAAACAAAAAAATCACTCCATTGGTTGAGCCAGTGTTGCTACTGTATATCAGACTGATCTAGATGCTCAAACAAACAGATCAGGCACGATAACTTTTGATAAGAAGATGAGAATTGTGAAACGTTTGAGAAATAAATGACAACAGAAAAGCAGGAATGATGAACTAAAGCACTGCCAACATAAACCTTAAGGCATGTTTGTAACTTTTGCCACTCTACTGTCAACACATGACTTTATTAGACAAAGTTTAACTATTTAAATCTTTACAATTTACAGATACAACAGTTATGCTTAGTTGTAAATAATTACATATTGTTTTTCATCTCAAATTAATAACCAGTTTCCATTTTGGTGTCACCAAGTGCCATTTTTCAATATTTACATTCTACAACAAGAAAATGTTTCATGAACCGTATATTTAGTGACTTTACAAACAAATTTAAATGATAACTTATTCAGACTTGTGCCTTTGAATTTATTGATTTTTTGAGTTAATGACAGCACAGTTTAACATATTTATTTGTAAAATATATTTAATTTAAATAAATTGCTCATTACTTTACAAAATATTTAAGCTTCTCTCACTTTTAGTCTATAATGATATAACAGAATATTTTACTTGAACATTAAACCCACATCTATCATCTTTCTAAAGAGTCCTCAGTTATGCGTGTACTCCAGAGGGTTCATGAACTCTGACTGGTTTAGTGTGTGTATGTCAGGTTTGGGTTTGAGCTCAACTAGTGGGGGCGACTGTTAACAGGTTAACTCTTGATCTCCAAACTTCCACTGTATCTGATCACCAGTAACACCAGTGTGTAGAGTGACAGTATCTCCCTTCAGCACTGATAGTGATGTCACATTATCTGTCACAGTAACAAACACACGAGAAGAAACAGAAACAGTTTAAAACAGATCAAGCTTATAATGCTTCAGATCTAGAAGTCAGAGATGCTGAACATCTTTCACTCAGATTGTTTAGATGCTGCTCTTGCTTTTCTTTTGCTCTCTGTTTTTGTTGAATTGATTTCTGAATCTGCCTATAAGGGTTGTAGACCTTTATTGTTATTGTTTTGAGTTATGAAGTTTGCACTCTTGCAGTTTAAATGAGTACACTCATCGGAAACTGTTTTGTTTTTGCATATATTTACACTCTTTGTTGTGTTTTCCTACTTTTATCACTAAAGTTTCTTCCTTTTGTCCCTGTGGCGATTGAAACTGTTTGTATCTTTCTGAATGAGTCCTTACATTAATCCCAAACTTGGTGTTTTATGAAACAATGTGTTTTATGATGTAAAATGCATTATAACTATTTCATAATTGGCACTATATATCTAGGTCACTAATCAAATGTAAGTAGTGACAGAACTTTTTACAAAATGTCCTGAATTTGCAGACTCTGGTGTCAGTGAACATCTTTTGATCTTTGCCTATGAGCTGTTAAAGGAAGAAGCTAATTGTAAATGGTTTAATTGTTTTTAAGATATGTTTTAAAGTTATGACGATTTTTTTCCCCTTTTTTCTTTTATTCTTTTTTAATAATGTTGTGCTGTCTATCCTGGCCAGGTCACTTCTGTAAGAGATTTTTAATCTCAGAAAATTTTATCTGGCAATAATAAACAATAAGAGTAAAGGAGTGTCATTGATTATGTGACTTTACAGACGGCATTAAGCTCAACATTTTCTTAAGATCGTCTCAGATCAAATATATTCATTGTGGAGCTTCATCTATCATCAGTCTTATTAATGTGTCTCATAAAACACTGCATTAAATATTAATAAGCAGTGTCTCCCTAACAACAACTCTAATCTGTGTGAGCTTTGTTACTGTTTACTATCACCGAAACAGGAATAGTAAAATATATAAAAAAGAGAGACATGATCAGATTAAACAAAACAATAAAAGAGTATGGTTATTTATATGTCTTGTTTAATCTGTTTAAATTGTGAAAATAACTCTAGATTGCTCTTTGCTGTACATCTCTGAAGCATCAATGTTATAGTTCTGTCAATAGATAACATTTCACTACACATCTTTCATTTTTTACACATTATTCTCTTAACTTAAACTCATTGCTGCTTTTTGTTAATTGACTAAAAAAATCAGGTTTTGGAGAATAAACCTCTGATTATTCCACATCATCTAAACTGTTCTCAGAAAATGAATCTAGATTTTAATCCAGTTATCAGATTGTAAGACTTGAGTACTCACCGGTGACAGTAACACTGAATATTTTGGATGTCTCATTTGTGCTTTTCTTGATGTTTAGTGTATAGGGTCCAGCATGGTCAGATGTGATGTTTGTGATGGTCAGATATCCAGTCTGCTGTTCCAGATTAAGACAGTTTTTGAATCTCCCATCATCACCTTCAGATTTATAGAAGTTTCCAGCTGTTCTTTTTTTCGCTATGATTATATCATTAAACTTCCAATTAGCTGAATCACCTCTTTTTATTTCAGCTTGATGTTTTAGAGTGACAGAATCCCCCTTCATCACTGTCACATCAACACCAAACACACCTGATGGGGGAAAACATAAAAGATGTTAATTCTTGATCAAGCCAGACATTTTTACAGTGCCGCAAATGAAAAACCATGTTATACAGTATTTTTCATTATTACTGAAGTGCTTTCTACGGCTGAAACTGAGAGTTGAAGCTGAAACTCCAGAACTGAGTCTCTTACTGCTGTGCTTGAAACATATATCGTATATTTCCCCAATACCCATTTCAAATAAACATTTACCATAAAACACACTTTACACTTTATATAGTCTCATGTAAGGATATTGTTTTGAATAGCCTCCATTTCACACTTTCATCAGTGTTGTGTCTCCTGAAAATGATCCTGATGTGACTTGTAATTTCAACATTAAACATAAATTGTAAAACATATGTGGTTGTATGTGGAAGATCACATGCAACACTCAAACAAAACACACAAAATAAATAAAATTAAAAGTGCAGCCTGGAAGCACTGGATTTTAAAAAAATGCAATTAACCAAAATTAAATGTTATTTTAAAAATGTTAAATGTTCCTTATAATTGAATAGCATATAAATATATCCATCCATAAAGAATGTTTTAAGGTTCTTATAGAGAAGACCAGAGAGTGTAGTTTGGGTGAGTTCAGCACCATCACTTCAACTTAGAAATGAAGAACAGAATTCAATCAGTCATGCATGAACACCAGCATTCTCACATCACAGTAAAGGCCATAACCAACCCCGCTGTGTATTACCTATTTTAAACCTAGCTTACTGACATGTTTCAAAACGGTGCTGTGTTTGAACCAACAAGACAGTGATTAAGGCAATATATAGTTAGATTTGGAAACGTATACATCCAACTCAGAAACCGAAAAAATCTATGATGAAAAAATTTACTTTCATGGTGTCAAAACAATCTTTGACTTTGTCCAGTATCTTCACGAAATATAATCAAAACTTTCCGCAAATTCGCGGGAGACCGTCTTCTGGCAGCAAGAGAAAAAAAGCGGAAAGACGGCCGACGAAATATGTTAAAAGTCCGTGTTACATCTAACCCCGCGTTAGGTTGTGCCCCGCGCTCCCCCAATGACTAGATGTTTTGAAGGGTAAAACTACTGCTCTATTTAATAATTTTGAGCAACATGGCATAAGAAAATGTACTATGCCAATTGAATGCACCAAAGCAATCGCAACTTGAGAAAATGCTTTTATGATGTGAACAAGTGA